GCACTTTAATTTTTCTTGGTGCTAAAAGCTTTGTTAACAAATCCAGATCCGGAAATTCCTCTCCAGGTGTTTCCTTTGGTATCTGTATTATCAGTTCACCGCTTGCTATGTCATATGAAGCTTTAACACGTTCATCCTCTACTAAATTACCTGGAAAATGGAGACTTTAAAAGAGGAGACGTAACTTTAATTTACTAAATTGTAATTGGATGCAATAATAATGATAATTTTTTTTATACGACCGACCGTAGATAATAGGGTTTTGCGTGAAAAGTGAAATCGGGACCATCGCTATATAATTCGACTTCCGTCACCTTAAATAACAATAACAAGCACAAGTTATTTAACATGCTAAATTTTAACTTGCGGTATAAACCAGTACTTTACTTTTATGTAAGGTGCTCGAATATTAATCGTGACAAACGTTTGATCTTGGGAGACACTAAAAACAGGAGTTATCATTGATGTAAACCGTGACGTGAATTTGAAAGTTTTTTTATCGTATTTATTGTTGATTGACGAATGGTTGATTAAATATTAGATATTCGTTGAGTATCGACTAAACTAATGGTCAAGATCGGATTTGTTTTATTTTGGTAAAAACATCGATATAAGCTTATATAACCAAAAAAAAAAATTTTCAGGATTCATCAATTCCAATCTATCATTAGAATTTGCAGCTCATCAATAGAACAGGATAACGAAAATGAAGCTTTTACTGTATGTTTATACACTAATTGTATTTTACAAAGGTTTTATAAAATTCGATTACTAATATCATTATATTCTATCACTATTATTAGCACAATGTAGACCTTTGCCCAATTTCATGACTAGCTATTCCACTTGGCATTTCTCCGTTTCTTCCAGTAATAAATTCTTTGTATCTACGAAAATGTAAAAAAACTTTGTAATTTAGAAAAATTATAATAACAAATAGCAACTGAAGCTTTATCAAGAATTAATACACACATTGAAGCTAATCTTGCATATTCTTGTGGTGTTATTGAAGGTCGTGTAATTTTTAATGAATTTTGCATATGCTTGTTTGTGATTTTCGCCTATAAATACCAAATTATTACCACTTTTCCTATATTAGAGATATAAATCAATAAAAATAAAATA